GATCGTGACCTTTCCAGATTGTGGCGCACGTCGAATGAACATCCAAGTGCCATTACTGGCACTAGCAACACGATTCGCACAGTGAAGACACACGTACAGCGTATTGTTCGGTATCCTAGAAACTAGGAGAAAATCGGGTGATCCTCCCCAAATGGTGTAACTAGTGGTGTGTCGGTGTCTGCCTGCACCTGTTTCGCCCAAACTTCTCAGTACACTTACAATCATTCTTTGCAATGGAATATACAGCGACGTAGTCAACACCGTGATCGCTCGTTTGTGTTGCACTGGGGAGCAAACGAGATCTCACGCGATTCCCGCGCATCTGCTGATGCCAGCATAGAACTTACTTAGAAGATGTTGTGACTAGTGTTTATTATGACCTTATCAGATGCAGATGCTTCGATCGACACACCGGCCCATATCAGGAACTTAACCTTACTTACATCTCAGCGAGGTCATCGCAGGTAAAAGCCTGGTTTACATCATTGCCCAGTACATGTACGATTAGCAACCGTTGACATTCGTCATCAGCATGTTTTGACCTAGTCCGTAATTGCCCGTTTTAGTTGTGTCGAAGTCACGTCTTCTCGACAATGCTACCTCCACGTGACGACGGCGGAAGGCTACAAAAGCGACGACTTCCCAGCGAAGAACTTCATTACCTGGTACAGCTCAGAGTAGCAACGAACTTATAAAGCTGCAGTTTTCCTAGCATCTTGTCGATCATGATTCGTGCGGTGATTTTCGCCTGCCTCCTGGCCTTCGCCAGCGCACAGGAACTGGACATTCCGAAACTGGCCGTGAAGCTCGGTGCTACGGACCTTGTTGAATTTGTCATCAAGGCTAACCTAACATCTGCCCTGTCCGGTCCAGGCCCTTTCACCGTGTTTGGGCCAACAAACGAGGCGTTCTCACGTCTACCACCGCCGATCGTTGAACTGCTGATGCACAACGTAACGCTGCTGCGTGATGTGCTAATGTACCACGTTGTCTCCGGTCGCGTCTACTCATCACAGCTGTCCAACGACTTGCTGGCCCAGTCTCTGCTCCCGGAGGAGAAGATCAGAATCAATATCTACAAGAACACGAAGACGGTAAGGCGAGCGAGAAACCTGATACCTGATCATTAGTGGGATGACCGCATTGTGGAAACGGTCCCTCTTCACACTGTTTGGCAGCACCCCCCCCCCCCCCTCACCTCCCCTCGTCTGACTTCCTTCATTCACCCTATGACACAGGCACCAAGCTTGGATCATAGCCGTTGCCCGCAGTCAGACTCGAAGTGTGAAATCGACTGTAAACGCCCCCCCCCCCCCCCATGTACATGCACTATGCGAAGAAGGTAGTGTGACTGCATAATGATAGGCAAAAGAAGTTAATACGACATGAACTGCTCACATGCACCTTGGGGATGACTCTGTGATGAACTTCTTGAAGCATCAACTTTGCTTATAACGACACTCGGCAGGGCATCAGAAAAGTGTCCTTATTCGCGAAGTCTCATTATACGTATTACAGTTGGATGGGACTTTGCTCTGGGCATGGAAATTCTGTCGTTATTTGCGAATTGTCGTTATATCCGCAGTCGTTATTAGCGAAGGTGACTGTATGTGTGCGTGCGTGTGGGATGTCTGCAAAAATGTACCGTAACATTACAGCATTGGGTACTACAAAGTCTACAATGTATTATGAGTAATATGTTGTAAATGTATTCATGATGCTAGCAAGAGTATAATAATAATAATAATAATAATAATAATAATAATAATAATAAGGGGTTATGTACTCTTGATACTAGTGTAGTACTAGATGCTTGTCTCTATCCGTGACTTGTGTGATATCCGGTTCCATTGTGTAGGTGGTTACCGCGGAGGGATCTCCGGTCGTCCTCACGGATCAGAACGCTACCAACGGCGTCATCCACGTCATCGACCGCGTCATGCTGCCCCCGCTTGGCGACATCCCCACCATCGTCACACGTGACCAGCGATTCAGTACCCTGCTGAAGGCTGTATCCGTTGCTGGTCTGGTGCCCACACTGTCCGGTGCAGGACCATTCACCGTCTTTGCCCCCACCGACGAGGCATTCGCCAAGATCCCACCAAAGACCCTGGAAGGTCTTCTGGCTGACAAGGCCAAGCTCACTAAGGTAAGATACTTTTTCCGTAGTGGGCATGCATCCGTCAATCTTTAGCAAGACAACACTTGAGTGGCATGCAGTGGAATTCGAGACATGCATAATTATGTACATGCAGATGATCAGCATGATGAGCTGATAACAAAGCACAGCCGCACATGTACTCATACAACAATTACAGTTGGCAATGGCTGTCATCATAAGTTCACGAGAGGATAATAGGAATTCATGGGCTCAGGATCAGCTCAATAGACAATCATATTATGGAATTAGTTAAGTGACCATGCCTCTGCTGTGATCTGTAATCTTTGTATCTGCACCGCAATACAGGTCTTGACATACCACGTGATCTCTGCCGCTGTCTGGGCCGCCGGACTCTACGATGGAGAGGAGGCGAAGACAGTGGAGGGCAGTTCACTCACGTTCCACATTGAGGAACACGAGGTGGCCATTAGCTTTGGTACGGAAGGACATTCGCGTGTCATTGAGCCCAACGTCGCCGCTACCAATGGTGTTATCCATGCCATTGACACCGTTCTTCTCCCACCTGATCTGTTCTAAGCCAGACTTGGTTTATTATTATGCCGACTCCACGTTATACGATCCGCACTACTAGTGTCTCTCAATCATATTTTTAAAGAAATTTCCTGTTTACCCTTGCCAACATTGAACAACAACCAAAATTAATAATTCAACAGTCGATACCCTGTTAGGCTACGAACTCTGCCGCACACTTCAGCAGGTGGTGATTATTGATTGGTTTGGTTCAGCTCTGGCTTGATTTCATTGCTATTTCTAGTACAGGAAATATAAAACAAAAATACAATGTACTTGTGATACTAGTACAGCAGACGGCTGTTAGCTTCTTTTTTTTAAGCCTCTTATACGGGCAATCACAGAACATGATTTCACTGGCCTGACGCAACAACTACAAAGCAAAACAAAACGAAAAATTTAAATAAAAAGAAAATGAAACTTTACAATCTGCACACAATGACAACTCCATTTTTAAGATAGTCTCTATTGATCAGGCTGTTGACGGCTGTTAGCTGCACTTAGATCGCGGCAACTTAGTTTTCTGCACGTGAACCATGCACAATCAATTCCAAGATGGCGTGACGCCAATAAGGACGATTGATAAGTGTGATAGAACTGGTACTAGCCAGAAACAGCTAGATGGAAATTAACCGGGGAAGCAAGATGCAATGGATCATGAAAAACAAGCGGGGGCAATAACGTTACCAGGGGTGATCGAGATAGTTAAATGTGCGAGATTACGGTATGTTATTAAATTCATGAGTACAAAAGCAAAAGTGTGCAACTTGTAACTTGATCTGCAATGGACTCACACAACAAAGTTATATTGGTATGGATCACTTCGGTGAAAATAATTAAAATACATACTTTGAAGTATGTTGTGCGTGTAAGTTAGGCCTTCCACCCCTGCCATGCACAACACAGTATTTGTTCACCGGGTAATGGGTGCATGGGTTTACAAAAGTCAGTTGCTCTGCCTCGACTTCCATTTTATCTAGTTACAGTAGTAGGCAGTTGTTCATAACTCGTATCATGTGTCCTTCTGCATTAACATTAACATTTTTAGGGTAATTATTGGCGAGAATGCTATCTACAGAACAGTACTGCTGCACTGTTCTTACCAGTATTGGCGAGAATGTCGCGCATGTGTGGATCATAGGTGAAAGGCAGCAGTTCAGTGAAACTGACAGTGAGTGGTTCGAAATGGTGGTGGCACTGGTGTTCATGGCTGTAGCTGTGGGTGGTGACCACATTCATCATACCGGTATTCAGGTTGTGTGCATTGTGCTGAACTACAGTACAGTGCTGCAGCCTGTGCAGGGGTGAATCCAGGGGCCCGGCTGGAAACCATATGCATGTACATGTACAGTCATATACATGTACATGTACATTGTATCAAGCTACAATCAGCTACCGTAAAACTGGGATGTGAACTGGTGCAGGGCGCTGTGCTGTGCACAGTGTGCAGGGCGCTGTGCAGCCCTAGACCTGCGAACACTGGGATGTGAACTGGTGCAGGATGGTGTAAACTTGACTCTTGAGATCCGGTTGCAGATGGAAAAAAAGTCTGAGGAAAAATTGATGTCACCGCTAGGACTTGAGCCAGTGACCCTCGCTTATGACCAGCGATGCTTTACCACTAATCTATGGCGTAGTTAACTAGTGACTACTACTTCTTCCTCTTTTGGTAACCTATCAGACCGATTCACCGCAGTGAAGGCATTGAGAGCCAGGCCAAGAGGATTACCGTAAGTAAGGGAAAGGATTTAGTGATACAACGGACCAAGATTTCCACGAACGATTATTTGTTGGAATACCAATTCAACGAATGAATGGCTGATCTACTACTGAATGATCTACTATTCTTCACACAATCTATCAGCAGGGGCAACGTCGCAAGGTAATTTAGTGTGGTACGGTCAGCCATCTGAAGTACAATTTACTCGTGGGGGAGGGGTGGCTGAGCCGAAAAATTTGGAAAATTAGAGCCCAAATCAGTGCATTTTATTGATTCACAGGGTACTTGGGTCAAATAGTGGTACGGTCAATACCGTATACGCGTAGTGACCGTACCGTGTGCGACGCCCCTGATCAGTGATGCACTTCGAAGCATCAGTTTGTGCCAGCAGTCACTGAGTGTCTTTATTCTCCGAAATACCATAGGTCTCCTCAGACGCAGCTCAGCTCGTATCAAGTTGGACTAGCCCCATAGCAGGGCTACATTGTACCCATGACTTTCGCCTGGTCTCAGCATGTGCAATGACACTCATGCCCAGGATCTAGGACAACGCTAGCACGCACACACCATGCAGGCCGGACTTGCATGTCAGTAAACCAAAGATATTGCAACTACTTCGAAGTACAAAATCACCAAATTCAAGAATGGCACCATTGTGAATTCACGGCCTAGATCCGCAGCTTACTAACAGCTACATCATGATATTCCATGGTTCCACTCGAATAGATCACTCGTGCGCGTGCAGGATCTAGGACTGTGGGATCAATAAAAAAAATTAAAAAAAACTTTTCTTATAACGCATTTCGTTTGAAAATTTAATTTGAATTTGAACTACTCAAGTAGTTACAATTGACTGAGAATAGTATTGGAAAGGCTACAAGTGAGGCCAGTACCGTCAGGTTCCACGTTGATAGTCTTCACCACGCCGTCCTCGATGACCATTGAGTACCTCTTCGATCTGATGCCCCCCAGGAATGGAGTTGCGTCGAAGTCCATTTCCATGGCTTTGGTCAGTTCGCCTGTGGTATCGGCCAGCATTCGGACTTTGCCAGCAGCACCATGAGCTTCGCCCCACGCGGCCATGACGAAAGCATCGTTGACTGACACACAGGCGATGACTTCTACACCCTTGGCGTTGTACTTCTCGATATCAGTCACATACCCTGGCAGGTGAGTTTTGCTACATCCTGGGGTGAAAGCTCCGGGTACAGCAAAAAGGACTCCCTTTTTGCCTTTGAACAAATCAGCAATGTTAACTGTGCCCTTTGGAGAGCCCTCATGAAGGGAGACCGAGGGAAGCTTGTCACCGACTTGGATTGGCATTCTGGAAGCAGTTGAAACACTGAAACGGCGAGCCTGAATGAAGCCAAACCTTGCCAACATTGTATTCAATTTTGTCTGTGTGTGTCAAGATTTTGAAAACACTTTTAGTTCTGTAGATCTGTTGTCGCTGCTGACATAGCTAGCTAGCCGGACCACTGGCACTGCTGTTCTTGTGCAACAATGGAGTGTGCGCACTGGTACGAGCACTACACACTAGAGCACTGTCATCACTGGTCATCACTGACATCACTCATCAGTGCAGTGCACCTACCCTGGTAGATCTACACAGTACGAGTCTCGTAGACCAGCACTCAGCAGATCTGTCATCCACTCTCTGGCAGCTACCACAGTAAATGTTGTGCAGTCACAGACAGCTGTGTGTCTCACCCAGTGGCACACTGGCAGTCACCAAACTACCTGTAAAAGCCATAACCTGATAACAAAGTGCTAACTCTATAAACGAGTTTTATTAAAATAGAAATCGTTATACAGAAATCGATACATATACTGTCCTATTGAGGGTTGAAAATGAGTGAGAATCGTTACCTTTGGTACACGTAAACTAGTCAATTTTGGGAAATCGTTATAATATGCGCCTCATTAGAATAATGGCTTTTACAGTAATGACAGACTTGGTCCGGCCAAAGGACCATTAATGCAAAGCCTCCCTCACTGGCCTCAGTCAGACTCAGGGCAAGGGACAAGGCCCTTGGCCGGCATGGTCCAGCTCACAGGAGCAAAACTCAGCCAAGGGTAATGACCTGCAAGGGCGTCGGAACCGCACCGGTCGGGGCGGCCATGGCCGCCCCACTTTTTCGGCGTTTTTTATTTATATATTTTTTTACACTGCAACAAAGCGCGATGATCTCAGCGCAAACATGGCAAATCCTTGTCCCCGATCGTGGTTTGTTGCAGAATCAAAAGTCCATGTACACTGAAATGGCACCAAATGCCTGGGAATGCTTGCAATTGGCTTCAATTTTTGAATTTTTCCCCGTAATGTTTGTCCCCGATCGTAGCATCTTCTTGTTTTTTTGCAGAATCAAAAAGTCTTTCATTGCAGTTACTGTACACTGAAATGGCATTTGGGAAATGCTTGCAATTGGCTTCAATTTTTTGAAATTTTTTCCCGGGGGGAGGACCCCGGACCCCCTTCCATGGCCGCCCCACCTCCAAAGTCGGTGCGACGCGCCTGACCTTGATGCATGGGGCATTGAGAGACCCCAGGGTGGCACTGGCCCACACACACACACACACTAGAACTTAGAAGTGACCACAACTCCCAAGGCTTGGAGGGGGGGGGGGGATTTACATGTATGGCTAACACAGAACCAATACCGTAAAAGTCCGTAAATAAGATTAGTACGTACATGTATTTACGTCCGAATTTAGTGGCCACATCGTGACCCGTACTAACTTTCGGGCGGGTTCTAACTTTCGGGCGGGTACTGACTTTCGGACCTGACTTGTGTGTAGTGGAGAAGTCATTTTCATGTCGATGTACATGCTACGTGCTGCATGTGCGCACCGTACCGGTACTTATTTCGGGCAGTATGTTTATCGGGCTTGACTTGACTTCAACAGACAGAGCCAAAAGATTGGAGGGGGTATTTCTTTCGGGCAGGTACTTATTTACGGACTTTTACGGTAAAGAACCTGTAACAAAAACCTCTGCTTCGCATTGCCTATTACTTGGTTTTCAGGCCAGAGCAAGTAGCCCTACACATACGGTTTCAGCCTGCACCTGTGTCACCTCCCGGTATGTGTAGGGCTCTCTGGGCCAGAGCCTGTCGAGAAGTGTGTGTGTGTGTGTGGGGGGGGGGGGGGAGAGAGAAATACAGCAAAAGTCAAGTGATATCTTTGCATACAATGTAGAAATCATACTTCGATGTTTGATGTGCAACGATAGAGCTCGCATTGGAACTCTTGTAAATCTCAGTGAAATAGATGCAAGAGCTGGGGGAAGGTTCAGGGTGCCAATCCTGTATAAAAAAAACCCGCATGAGATCCAGATTTCATAAATCCTGTGTCTCAACCTTTATTCTATGCCTATAGCGTACATGTACTTGATCTGTGAAGCCTAGCGCCTGTGCGACCCATACACTGGGCCATACATGTCGTCATTGGGACTAGCAAAGTAAGTACAGTCAACTTGGCTAATAACGATTGCGGATATACCGGCAATTCGCGAACAACGACAGAATTTCCATGCCCAGAGCAAAATCCCATCTAACTGTAAAACATATAATGAGACTCCGGGTATAAGGACACTTCGCGAATAAGGACACTTTTCTGATGCCCCGTCGAGTGTCGTTATTAGGGCTCAAACGGTCACGGTTTTACCCCTAACGGTTAACTGCTAAGCTAACGGTCGGTTTAACAGTTATGACCTATAAGCCACGGCAATCCTACGGACTCTTTTTTAACCGTATATTTGACTATACTCATTCAAAAAATGTACCCTATTCAGTACAACGTACACATGTACATGTACATTCTCTTGCATGCTCATTCACACATACTCTCACACCAAGAGGCCAGATTATGACCGAGTTGACAGCCCAGAAATTGCGTACCCGTGCGACAACCTGCGAAAGTGCATACTTTGCAACGACCTTAATTGGGCACCATTGCCCGCTTGGCCTTGCGAAGTAAAATAAAAATCAACAACAACCTGATACTTGAAAAAATTGACTGAAAAGTTACTGCGTAGCCGTTATCTTTATCGGTTAACCGTTATTTCTTCGTAGCCGGTCTGCAACCGGTTAATCGGACTAACCGTTTGAGCCCTAGTCATTATACGCAAAGTTGATGCTTCAAGAAGTTCATCACAGAGTGATCCCCAAGGTGCATGTGAGCAGTTCATGTCGTACTAACTTCTTTTGCCTATCATTATGCAGTCACACTACCTTCTTCCTACTTCGCATAGTGCATGTACATGTACATGAATGTTACTCACGGTTTTGTAGGTTTGTTTCCCCACGCACCACCTACACACTGCAGCAGCAGCAGCAGCAGCAGCAGCAGTGTGCTCAGAAGGCTTGGGCCCTCTGCTGAAAAGTTCTTTCATTGCTAATAATTCTGACAGTCAGT